CTGTTCTATCTTCTGTGATATGCCCAGGGGCAAACACAGAGCTCAGAGGGCGGCCTTATTACAGGACTATGTAAAAGCAATTCTTCTTTATTCTTCTGAATAGACTAAGATATGCCTGGACATATATGAGGGAGAAATACTGAAAAACTCATATATTGGTTATAGTATAGACTTCTGTGTAGCTCTTTAATTTTAAAACAAGAATGGTTGAGTTTGCAATGAAGAGTTTTTTTTATCAGTATTTTATAGTCATTATCAGTGGAATTCAAGTATTCACCAATAAGCTTCAATTTTTCAGAAGAAACTCCCAAATCAGTACAAAAATAAATTTGTTGTAAAAGTGAAGTGATTTGAAGTGAACTGCTACTGAAACATGTCTCATCAGATATCATAATTGCTTGAAATATTCTTCAAAGTCTTCTTTCATAAATTTTCTTTACTAAGTGAGCCACGTTTCATTAAAATTATCAAAGAACTTTTCAAAAAGCAAAAAGTTAATCATTTCATGAATGCAAGAATTTCCATTAAGTAGTAATACTTATACAAAACATGTTGCATAATTATTTTTTTTCTTCTGAAAATTGTTTCAATATATCTGAAATCTATATTGCTAGCTGCCTATAAATATACTTCAACTCCTCATCAAAGGGCACCTGTTGTATGCCCTTAGTGTGACCCTGAGACAGGCAGTGGCAGCTTCTGCTCTGATTATGGTACCTCTCACAACACCTAGGGTGGGTCAGCCAAATTAATGTTTAGTCTGTGGCCTGATCAGTCACACCCTGCTCATCAATAGTTTTCACCTCTTACTTTACCAAGTTGTGTGGCCGCCTGATGGATGGCTGCCTGGGGTGCTGTACTGTTACGGGCCAGTCCTAATGAACATCTGAATTATGGCTCTTCCAGGTGCCATTGTTACCAAGACAACACACAATATATCTATTGTAAAGGGGATGTAATTTTACATCAGACTATGATGAGTCTTCCAGCCTTTACTGTTTCCACGACAACAAAACATTATACATAAATCTTATTTTTAAGGGATATGTATAATCTTACATTTTGATTAATGTTACTTCCTAGAAAACAACACAATAATTCAGTGTCACTCTGCTGGTTGCTATCTCAATACTTACTCCCATTCCCAGCCTAGTAGAGGTTTAGGTGTTGAACATCAAAAGAGTTTGCAATAGGTCAATAAGTAGGACATCAGACAATTAGCAACCTAGGGTGAAAAATCGAAGGTGTGAGGTTATGTGTTTCCTAAAGGGTTTGCATTTCTTTGAAAGCTGAAATCATAGATTGTGCTATACTGTTGTGGTTGTGTTCTTGCTCATGAAACTTCATCTCATTTGCTTAGAATAGCATGCATCAAATCTCCTATTTGGTATTAAATTGGCTTTTTTATTGATATGTTTTCTGACAAAACAAAGGTCTAACATGTTTACACTGCAGCCAAATTTCTCAAATCTGTAGTAGCTTCTAACATCAAGACGTTCTGATGAGTTGAAATTCCCATGTGTGTTTAAGATGCCAGCTGAAGGTGGATTTGTAGATATACAGCATGTATCACTAGTTGGTGTCTGTTTTGCTGTGACGTTTGTGTTACTTTTGTACACTAAATTCCTCAGGTCTCCAGGCACAGGTGTGTGGGAGTAATGTTAGAATCAAACTCGATGTCATACATGTTAGGCTGTCTAGAATTTCTTGGCAGAATGATACAAAGTAAAATTTGTTTCAGTGTTAGAATTACGCAAGGAGAATTTGTGGTGGTAATAGGTTCCATCAGCCAGCTTATTAACATGAATGATAACTATTTCTCTAACATCAGGGAATGGTTTATGTGAGTATGGCCTCAGATGATGAAGCTCTACAAGTGACCTTTGAAAGTGTTGTATTTGCAGTGTTATGGACAGCAGGAAAAGTAACTGATGCCGTCCTGTTGGGATTTCATTAGCGTACCATTGTTGGTAGTCTTGAATCTTTCAAATGAGTATTGATATACATGTATATATGGTATATATATACCTCCATAATGACAGCTTGCACTTTTCCTGGATATCTGAATAATGGCTGGCAAGAGAAATTGATTATGCAGATATCACACATTTCTTGTAGATGTAGTAGCCAACAAGGCGAGGACAAACACTTTTGGGAATACTGTATGGAGCTCCATGCATTTCATGTTTTAGCATCAAATTCCATACACATTGTATGGCATGTGTCTGAAACTCGCTACAGATGTTACATAAAGGCATCAATAATACAAGTCATACATCACAGCTTTGTTTCATAGCCTTGATTTGGTCACACCAAACATATCTTTTTCCCAACTATGTCAGTATGTTTGTCTGATTTGAGGGAGTGCACAGTCACTAGAGCTACGGAGGTGAGTAAATTGACACTCCCTACCCAAAGCGATTTGTGTTTGCTGGGAAGCTGACAAAAAGACAGATCTGTGCTGATGTGGTTGTGTCCTTGGGCTAGACACTTTACTTTTAACGGGCCTCCCACATAATGTTTAGTGAAGTAGCCACCAGCAACTACGGGGAGACCAAATCTCAAAAATGGTCCTGGCTGTTTACATGGTGATAAACCAAGCAAACAAACATGTCATCTAATTTGATACTAAAGAAATAGGAGTAGAGTAGATACCATTGTATCATGATACAAGATCAGAGAATTGAAATATATGATATTGATTATATGAATATGAACAGGTTAATTTTATCTGATATTTAAAAGAAAATTTGAGAAGGTGAGAATGACACTCTCGTCTATATGTGTATTTTATAGATCTCTAAGAAATTCTCTTGCTCTTCTGTAACTGAAAATATATATACACTAGAGCAGCAATCTCTGAACTTTCTGTCAGAAGCATTGGGTTGTGTCAGGTCAATAAATCATTGTTTCCTGTTTATGCGCTTTGGAGAGAAAGTTGACACCAATTATTAATTTTTTTATCAAAAATTAAAGACTGAAGGATCAGTTTTGTTTGAACTGAATCATGTTTTCTGTGGCTACCATTGTAGGTGACAAATGTGGAACAAGATAATTCAGGGACTCCCTCATTATAATTTAAATTCTTAGACGTGTTGCAATTGGTTCCTTACTACTGTTGCTGCATATGGAAAGATATTAACTGTTTACAATCAGAAAAATTTGTTCTTAAAGGATGGTAACATCAATATTGTCATTTGATATGTCAGATCATATTTCATGTAGCTGTAAAACATAGATGAAATGAGATTATAATGAAGATTCTGATTATTTTAGAGAAAACAAATATTTAAACTCAGTTTTCTCTTTGTTTATGTTTCATTCCATATCAATGGGTGAATTGTTTACCAACTATGGCAGTATAATGGGTAACATTCGGAAGCCCTAGATCTAATACACAGGTGAAAATTACTTAGGAATTATGTACATCAGACATAATTAGAGTATATGAGGTAGCTTAGGCAGCTGTGATAATGAGATTGTGCAATGCTCTCTATGACCTTATGTAGGATGTTTTGAATGATCTGAGGAAACATTGCTTGCTATTGACGTGTTGTAAGCTGGGTACTTAGCAAGGGAATGATGGTAAGCTGGGTGATGTCAGAGGGGATCAGACATGTTGTAGTATAGCTGTTTGTATACTGGGTAGAGTGGTAAAAAACACACTTAGATGAAAAGGTGACGTTACTTTTGAAATAAAGATGGGTTTGGTATAAACAATATGAAACTGAAGCAGATATTAGTCCATTATTATATACCCTATTTCTTACTTCTGGGAGGAAATATGTATGTAGAGATGGAAAATATTTCCATCACTGCTAATCTGCATCTCATGTCATAAAAGTCTGTACAAAGTTCATCTGTAATATGTCAAGGGTACTACATACAATTCTCACTTGTAATGTCTGGAGTACTGTGTACAATTCTCATGTGTAAAATGTCTAGAGTGCTCTTTGCAGTTCTCACCTGTAATATGTCAGTCCTATTGTATATGGTTCTCACCTGGAATATCTCAAGAGTACTATGTACAATTTTCACCTGTATTGTCAGGTGTACGGTTTATGTTCTCTCACCAGTAATATGTGAGAAGTACTGGATAAAATTCTCACCTGTAAAAAGTCGGAAGAACTGTGTACAATTCTCACCTGTAATATGTCTGTAGTATTGTAAACGGTTCTCACCTGGAATATCTCAGGTGTGCTGTATGTAGTTCTCACCAGTAATATGTCAGATGTACTGTATACATTCTCTTACCTGTAATATGTCAGCAGTTCTGTATACATTTCTCATTTGTGATATTTCAGGAGTACAATGCACAATTCTCACCTGTATTATGTCAGATGTACTGTATACAATTTTTACCAGTTATATGACAGCAGTACTCTCTAAAATTCTCACCTGTGATATGTACCACATGATCATTGCTATCTATTAGAAGCAGGCTTCATATGTGCACCTGTATGTGACCAGTCTGTGTGCATGTCAGTGATATTTTCTGTAAGCTGATTTCATTTATCCATATTGTCAGAAATGACTGTCTAACTAACTTACATAAAAATAAAGAAAAAATACATTGAAGGATTTTATAGATTTAAATATTGGTTATTCCATCATCAGCAAAGCCCCCTTTATGTACATAGCTGTCATGTTTTGTAAAAGTCTATAGCAATAGCTGGGACACCACTGAGCTGTTTTTGTTATAGTTAACAGAGGCATTGCAAACGTTGTCATGTAACAATGAGAGCTGGGAGCTGTTTACATTAACGCATTGTATGACATATGTTATAGTTGTACTTTCTATCATTTATCATATGCTTGAATTCACAGGAGGCAATTAAGAAATCTATAAACAGCAGAAGTAGCCTCATCAAAATTAATATATTTATACTTTTTATTACAGCAAGCGAATCAGAGAGAATCACAAGGTGTTATTCTATAACATTAGCTGGGTTATTTCAATTTTAATTTTTAATTGTGTTTTTTTTATTATTTTTGTGTAGCTCATCGACGGAAGAGCGCAGTAGAGCTGTTGGAAGCTTCTAAGAGTGAATACGTGAAGAGTCGGAGTGTCTTAAAAACAAAGCAGGAACTGAAACATCCTGAGAATCTCCACATTGGAAAGTAAGTGCATTGGTACTAGACATACCTAACCTCATGAGGAGTATTTAGATCTGGGTAGTCAGGTTTCTTTCATTACAATGTCACACATGAATTGAAGTTCGTTAAAACATGTTTTCACCATTAGTTCTATTATAGTAACCTGTATTTTTATTGATACAGTGTACACATTTTTTGCACTTAGACTTATAATTACAAGATACAAATGTATACCTTTGAAGTATCAATCAGAAAGTGAGGAAGGACATGTTTGATATCTTGTCCAGTTCATTTGTAATTTATCATTTCTTTGTTGTTTTTTGTTCAATTTTGACAATATGAATGAACTGAAAATTGTTCATTAGCTACCAGTGACAGTCTGTACTGAGTTCAGTATAGAATGTATCCTTCAGCTGTCAGTGACAGTCTGTACTGAGTTCAGTATAGAATGTATCCTTCAGCTGTCAGTGAAAGTCTGTACTGAGTTCAGTATAGAATGTATCCTTCAGCTGTCAGTGAAAGTCTGTACTGAGTTCAGTATAGAATGTATCCTATCAGTGACAGTCTGTACTGAGTTCAGTATAGAATGTATCCTTCAGCTGTCAGTGACAGTCTGTACTGAGTTCAGTATAGAATGTATCCTTCAGCTGTCAGTGAAAGCCTGTACTGAGTTCAGTATAGAATGTATCCTTCAGCTGTCAGTGAAAGTCTGTACTGAGTTCAGTATAGAATGTATCCTATCAGTGACAGTCTGTACTGAGTTGAGTATAGAATGTATCCTTCCACTGTCAGTGACAGTCTGTACTGAGTTGAGTATAGAAAGTATCCTTCAGCTGTCAATGACAGTCTATACTGAGTTCAGTATAGAATGTATCCTTCAGCTGTCAGTGACAGTCTGTACTGAGTTCAGTATAGAATGTATCCTATCAGTGACAGTCTGTACTGAGTTCAGTATAGAATGTATCCTTCAGCTGTCAGTGACAGTCTATACTGAGTTCAGTATACAATGTATCCTTCAGCTGTCAGTGACAGTCTGTACTGAGTTCAGTATACAATGTATCCTTCAGCTGTCAGTGACAGTCTGTACTGAGTTCAGTATAGAATGTATCCTTCGGCTGTCAGTGACAGTCTGTACTGAGTTCAGTATAGAATGTATCCTTCAGCTGTCAGTGACAGTCTGTACTGAGTTCAGTATAGAAGATATCCTTCAGCTGTCAGTGACAGTCTGTACTGAGTTCAGTATAGAATGTATCCTTCAGCTGTCAGTGACAGTCTGTACTGAGTTCAGTATAGAATGTATCCTTCAGCTGTCAGTGACAGTCTGTACCGAGTTCAGTATAGAATGTATCCTTCAGCTGTCAGTGACAGTCTGTACTGAGTTCAGTATAGAATGTATCCTTCAGCTGTTAGTGAGTCTGTACTAGAGTCCTCTTGAGGATGGAATATTATCATTAAACTTACATGTCTTGGAAATAAAATCAATATAGAACATATAAGTCAATTTTGCAAATTTCATGATAAAGTACATCCATTTCTGTCAAAGCTTTTTTGAAAAATGCAAAAATTTCAGTCATTGAAAAAGCAACTTATTCACATTACACTGTCATGAAAAAGAGGCCTGTTGGAAATCTTGTAGAACAGGTTTGGAGATTAGTTCTATTAGCATATCAAAGAATATCTGGTTTAATGTGTACAAAGGTTTTGGTTCGCAAGTAATTTTTTTGACATATGTCAGAGTTTGGAGTTAAAATCCATTAACCATTCTAAACACATATCTCTTTCATAATGGCATTTAGTCATTTCCTGCTGTACAGGGTCTGGGGAGTTTGTCGACAGATAGCATAAGTGGCTAGAGGGAGGTACATCTCATATTAACATGAGGGGCAAAAAACAATACATTTACGCTACATCGCAAAAATTTGTTTTGAATTTAGAAAACATTTTCATGCTGTGTTTTCATTCAAACCAGAAGGATTCAGACCTCTTTCAACAGTCTGTTTTTATCACCAGACAGTGCTCTATGTTGTAAACAGTAGGCTGGATACATCTATCATCAGAGGATACTATATATCGAGACAAATCCATACCAAATACAATCATATTTGTTCGAAACCAGATGTAAGACCTAGACATTTAATTGTAGTATACAGCATTTGGATCATCAAATTATAGACTTTACATGTGACATACATTGCACCAAGGCTATATAATCAATATTGTTTACTTTCCTACAGGCCAAAGACTAGTTGTCTGGGACGGTCCAAATCAGAATACTCCCTGGCCTTGGGAGACTCGGAACGGAATGGAAACTGCATTGTTGGAGGACCAGCAGTCACAGGGTCTACATGTGGTGAAAGAGAAAAAACCAAGTCTCGCCCCCCTGACCTACCGCCAAAGCCTTCAAAAGGTACTATCCCCAGTATAACTGCACGATTAAATCAGGTACTCCAGTGTGAAACAAGTGACTCATCCAAAATCAATACTTTGGAAAATGGTCGACCTCGATCCATCAGTGCCAATTCTGCGTCTTCAAATTGTCTAAGTGACAAATCTGACCAAAGTAATAACAACTGTATCAGGAGTAGAACAGACTCAAAAAAGATGAATTCAAAATCAAATGATGGTGAAATTGAGCCAAAACCATCCCGGTCAAAGGATCCTGAACGGCCACCAAGGTCAAGGGACTGCCTTTTACCCTCCACCTATCAGTCCCTAAGTACATCAGTCACAGTGCTAGTGGAAAAGCGATGTGCTGGGTCCGCAACCACACACACTCCAACGGACACAGCTATCTTACGAAGGAAGAAAAAAACTCTTCACAGGTCTCAGTCTGACCTTAGTTGTCGACATTCCAGGAATAGTTCTGATTTTTCAGATCTTAGTTCCAGACTTTCCCGCACAAGTACGGAACTAGAACGCTTCTTCAATGAAATGGGTATAGACAAGAGTGTGTTGGATCCAATGATGAAATTACAACACAACCATAAAAAAGAGAGTGACTATTTTGAGAGTTTAAGTTCCTTGGAACTGGGTTCTGAGGACCGCAGTTCATTGAGTGGAGTGTCCCAAGGTGCAAAAAGTCAAACAGACAAGGATAAAAAGGAGGATATAAAGGAACGTAGCTCGTCCCAAGGAACACAAGTGGAGAAAAATGCACGCATAATTAAATGGTTGTGTAATGTGAAGAAAGCAAGATTTCCTCCCCCCCAGCAAGCATCCTAACATTAACTTCATGTCATAGTATAGGTGAGTATATAAATTTGGATTATGCTATTTGGTCATTATAAAATTTACACTAAGGTTTGTTTTCTTTTTGGAGTCATATGCCTACTACTCATATTACTCTCTCAGAGTACATCATGAGAATGGTTGAGTTCATATCTCATAACAATGGCCACAAGCTACCAGTTAGCATTTTGTTTTAAGATAGTTTTAGAGGAAGGGAAACAACTCTTTCATGACCATTTGCCGTCTTTAATTTCTGGATCAGTAAACTCTTAGTTGGAATTCTTTTAAGGTCTCTCATTCAAGATTTGTCAGGCTTCTTAATGCTTTTAAAACCTGTCAACAGATTTGGTTTATAGATTTACACTTAGCATATTTAAGCTGGTCACCAGTTAAGGGTTAAAAGGTCACATTTTACATCTTCCAGACAAATTTTTCAAATAAGACTTTGCTAACAATGTTTAAATAAGTCTAAATACTGATTATACACATGTATGTAGGTAAGTTGTGTAGCAAGAAATTGATTTGAGTTTTCATTTGCTATGTGTATATATTTTCCTCCACTAGTTGTTTGACTCAGCAATTCCTATCACTTATTTATAATAACAGATTCTCTGGTATTGATTAAATCAATTGCCTGTTGTTTATGCTTCTTTTATATTCCAACCTTATCAATTGATTTATTAGTTGAGTTCACGAATCAGACAGCTAAGATTCAATTTTATTGCTTCCTAGTTTTCTTCGGTGTTTGATCATATGGCAAATGATATGCATTTTACTTATTAGAAAAATCATTCATTTTATATATCAAAATGCTAGTTATGTTCCTAAGGCCTTGTGACGTATTGACCCTAGCGAAGAGTTTTGGTAAATAGGATGTCTTATACTTATACCTGGATATTGTTATTATTGGAGCCAGAATAGTTTGCACAAGCAAGATGACCCAGACATTTGAACCTCAGACAATATCTTTATGCAGTAAAGGTTTTAGTGAGTCTTCATTGGGTCCATTAGTCTTATGAATTATTGAGATAATGTATTTAACCTTTAATTCAAATCTTTCTGTATGATCCATGACAATTGTCACAGTTATTGAAATAATTCTGCTGACGATAATGTATGTTACCAGTTGGGGTTTAACTTTCAGTATTGATTTGGCCATCAACAGTTACATTCACTGCCGAGTCAGCATTATGTTTGGTATTAATGAGATCATAAAGCATTGTTATATAAAGCTGCATTTTACGGCCTTGGCTCTTTTATCTGATCTTTTCTTTGATAACATATCAGCTATTAATATTTTATTTAATATTGTCTTTTGAATCTGAAAATACCTTGACTTTTATTACATGGATATCTTTTTCCTTTAATGAAAATGCCCAATAAAATCAGATAAATCCTTGACCTCATGCTAATCTGTTATTACTTTGACTCTTTCTCATATATGACCTTGACTCATATTTTACTTGACATCAATTATCAATAAGCTGCCTTTTGGACTGACTGCTCTATATCCAGCAGCATGTCTGTCAAAGATTACGTTATAGATGACATGTCCTGAAATGCTGTCATAATAATTTATATGCATTTTTTCAGTTTTCAGCTTGTGAGTTTCAGAGTGAGAAATGCATTAACCAAGACAAGTGAAGATTTTACTGAGCATCATGAACCTGCTTGACAACTGGAAAAGTTTATTATCTTGTGTTATAGTGAGAAAAATGTCAAAATTAAGAATATTTTTTTAAATGTCATACCTATACTTGCCAACACTCCTTCTTGGAGGAAGTCTTATGGTTTTTGGCCCTAACTTTAGACATGAATCATCTTTAAATTACTTGTTTATAATTTCAAATCTATCCAGATGGAGCAACTCTAACTCTAGTGATTTAAAAATGCATTTTTCTGTGGCTTGATGATTTGAACAAATGTTCATAATAGTTCTAAAAATGTGGCAAGCATTTGTCAGTTTGCTCGTTAAATAATTCAAAGAGAAATATGAGGATTTTTTAAGATGATGAAGATTTTTGGAAAATGGTCAGAGCTTGATGTGGATGTTCCATCAGTAAAAAATACTAGTAAATATTACACTTGATGATAACAGGTATGTATTAATCCACTTGAAACACCAGCATTTTGTTATTAGCGCATTGGTTCAGTTTAAACTTCTAGGGAGGAAAATTCAATGAACATTTGATGTTACCTCTTCCCTTGCCAAATGAACAATGATATGCACTGTACAAGAACTTTCTGTCATCTATCACTGTACACAGAATGGAAATTAGACACTTGCCAAAATACATACTTGTATTTACAGTCTGTAGAAAATATTTATCACACTTCAAAATGAAACGATCCTTGATTCTGGTTATAATGTCGATTTTCTACTGGCAGTGATATATTGGTTTTGTTTAAATATTGCACAAAGTGCTCAGATACATAACATGTAAGCCACTGCAATATTTTTTCTTCTCTTACTACATACACCAATGCAGTTTTTTGCATACAGGACCTATATATACATATCCATGTTTGATTTCTTGGGGGGAGAGGAGGGGTTAATAGTAGGGATAAAATTATCTTATCATTACTCAGTTATCACTGTTGTGACATCTTTACTGTCATGTGTTAAAAATTGTTAATACCAGTCAGTGATGTGACTTCATTGTGTAATTTGTTTCATTTTCCATGTCAATATCCTTGTGATTACCTTTTGTATTGTGATATATAACAGTGAAGTCATATTGTTGATATGTTAGATTTTGGATCATCTTAAAGAGAAGATTTCACAAGATGCGAGATTTATGAAACTTGTTACAATTTATTCTTTTTAGCAAGCCTCAGGTATGCATGAATATTTTTTTTAGGCTTTCATAACTCTCATTATTTAATTGAAAGTCCTATCTTTCTACTTAAAAGATGTATGTAAAGAATGTATATACTAGTTTTATTTTCACAACACCGAGACCCTATGATTTCAACATGACTTTATATAGATACTGGGATTGACACTTATAAATCATTTTATTTCAACACTTTGAAATTTTATATATACTTTCCAGATAATTGTGAAATCACTTCTGCATGAACACTTCCAGATATGTGGGTTAGCTATTTGTACCTCTGATGTCTACCAATGTTATGGACACACAATTTAAAAAGCTATTGATAATGAATGGCACATTTTGTTTTGTAAACAGGAACATTTTGCATGTCTCATTGTTTTAGTGGGGATGAGTGGTCCCACAGTTAAATGTCATGTTATATGTAAGCCAATCTCGACTATCATAAATGTAGGTTATTTACTGTAATGATGGAGAGTGCCTTTTATTAACTTTCCCATTTTCATTTCATATTATTGGTGTAGATTTAGTTTATGGTGGGATCTACGAAACTACATAATAGTTCAAGTGTTTGAATATCTGTGAGTGATGTGCGTAATTTGAATGTTCATGAGCCAACAGAAGATAATAAGAAAGTTGAATCATATCTAAAGCTGAGGAATAGCTTCACTAGAATCAAGTAGTTGCAATGTACACTTTACGTACACAAAATGTCATTAAGGATGCTTTGTTTATTGTGTAAAAATAAATGAATCTCTTGCACATTTAGCACTAAAAGTGTCTATATCAATAGATTGTATACTTCAGCTAGGCCTGTCATATTTACACAAGAGCGTTTAAACTAAATTTCATCTAATAGGTTTGAATTTACTTTGAAATGATCCGTTATAAATATGAGAAACTATTTAACTGTTACAAATGTGTAATTTCAGTAGTTTGTGACTATTTTTTTAATCTATGATTCATCAAAAACTGAAGATTCATTTTGAACCATAATTCAGCGTTCGTTGTACATTGTACAATTCATGTATGTATGAGGTCTTGCCATACTGTAATACAGGTCGTGGCAGAAATTTCTGCATGCTAAACTTGATCAATTGATCATGTTAAAAAGCATTATGTTATATTATTGCCATCTCATGAACTGTAGGGGACCCTAATTAATTAACTGGAAATTGGTACATGTGTAATCATATCAATTGTGTATAGAAATGGATTATAAAATATGATTGTACTAATATTCTAATCTGATGTTCAAGACCAAAGACTATGGAAGTTTGTTTTGTATACAAGTTTTTTTTTTTGTAAACATTTCAAATTAAGGTCAGTTTGTGGCAAGCAAATGACAACTAAGAAGATATAATACAAATAAATACAGATCTGTAAATTGACATATTTATGCAATATCTAACAATAAAGATTAAATCAATATACTCCTGTTGTGTTTTCTTTGTGCAAAGTTAGTGGTTGAACTTGGGGAGATAACTCTTTCATTTGCTGTAATTTTTTAAGGATATTGGTGAAGTAATTCCTTTTAGATTTGTTTTCATGTTTGACCTAAATAAATCATGCATTTAATAATACCAGTAAGGTCATGCCAGTAATTATAAAGTGTTTTTTGTTTTATTGTCTCTTAAACAAAACCTCAAAATCAGGGATGCATCTTATCTTCCAAATTCCTGAATAAATAACCAATGTTAAAAGTGATTGAATACAAGGGAACATTTAAAATTATGTAATAGTAACCATTTATTTTCAAAACATTGAAATACTTGTTTCACTTGTAATATTTCGTACCAGTTATACAAAGATATTACCTTCATGAAACAACACAATCACAGTAATGCTTAGATGTTGTTTTTTTTTAATAACACAAATTAATTTCAATAATTAAATTGATTTCCATAATGAAATATACCACATTAAAATTGAAAACAGTTTTTAAACATTAAAACAAATTGATTTCTGTTATACATCTACTTGTATATGCTGAACTAAGCCCATTTGTTAGTGATTCACTTGCCTTTGTCTTTGAAAATATATTCAAGTTGTATAGGCCAATATCTGACATCATTAAATTCCACAAAACTGCCTAATAAACCAAGTTTTCAAAGGAAACAATAAATCACTAGGATGTAAATGATAATTATTTCTTTCCAGACCGAGTTGAACCTTATTAAAACTCAAATGATTAACAAACATAATAGTAACTAGACTGAATTAAATTGTATGTGCCAAGACAACATTTTAGTTCTGGTTATCAAAACAGGATGAAATGATATTTCTGAAATACTGAAGAAAAGTATATATTTTTGTATCTTAAGATATAATATACAAATATACCATGTAAACAAAGTACATTACAATAAATTTCAATATCTTGACACCTTCTGTGTTCTCTGCATTTTATTATAATAGAGAATTGTTGTCTGATGTCTCTCATCCTCAGTCCAAGGTGAATAGTGCACTATTGTTTTAAAAAAAGGATTGATAGTGAATTTTCATCTCTGGCCGAGGATGGATGTCCCTATATTTGTCAGGCTTTTAGTGGAGAGAGATTCTTCATTCTTATTTTCATCCTTGAAATGCTTCCACTAGTAGTTCTCTCACCATGAAAATTAAGAAAGATATGTAAGAAGTACCTACATGTATTATAAAATGTATATATAATTTTACTGTATCGTGTGCACTGCACTCATTCCCCTATAGGATTACATGTTAAAGGTCACATTTAAGTTCAGGGATACAACATCCAATTGTTCATAACAATAACTTTTTAAATACATTAATGTATTGTTACTTTCATATCAATGAAAAGCTTTTCAAAAAACAAAAACAAATTGAACAACTACATCTCACTCAAAGCAAAGATATATAAAAATTTGAATATTTATTCAAGCAATTCATATTTAGATGAAAAAAATCCATCTGATTAATGAATAAGCACTGCTTTTTATAGCATACATTTAAAAAATTTTCAGTGATCACATTGTAAAGCTTTGTTTTTTTGTTTTTTTTTTCTTCTTCTATGGTGTGTGAAACTAAAAATGTCAAACCTAGGATGAATTAATCTTGAACAATAATGATTGAAGAAAAAAAAAGGTTTTTGGGCTCTTTAACACTTGGCCATTGTTTAATGAACAACAATATATAAAATTTTCATTAAATAACTACATCATATATAGATTTAACAGCTGATAAAAAGGGGTACAATGGTAACAAAGGGAAGTAATACACTGTCATTGTACAAGTATTACAAAACTAGATATCACAGTCATGCTTGGATCAGCAACTGGCAGGTATTGACAAACATTCTTAGCATTAAACTATTAACATCAATTATTGTCAATGAATATCACATCACATCAGGCACATAACAGCACGACAGAATTTTAAGTCAATCACAACATGAAATATTACATTTTCTAAATCTATGAAGATAAATTAAATCAATATAGAATGGAAAAACAAGCTTAGAGCTTGTATTAATTCCTTGCCCAATTTATGAAGATTGAAAAGTGACCACAAAAACAGATCTATTGAAGTTATATGCAGTTGATCAAGAAAATATTTTGCTTTCATTTTGCCTAAAATGGTCGTTAAATTATAATGATCTCTTTTTGGGATCTAGGAGAAAGGGGCTACACATTTTAAGAATTACCAGGTACATAATTAAATTGGTGCACAATAATTAAAACCAATTGACGGATTTTGCTTAGAAAAACCATATGGTAAAACTATGAAGAGACAAAATAACTGATTTCAGAATAAATCTCAAATTGAGCATGAAATAAGAAATTTAGATTTTAAATTTCTTCAATTTCCCATTCAATGTGGTTTAAATTTTGAATGTAAATGTTGAATTTTCTGCCTTTTTGACAGTCCAAGCCTCCTTGGTTTTCTACATAGGGGAAGAGGTGCAACGCTTATTAGCTTCACAGAACCTGAAAATGATGGGTTCAATACTAAAATCTTCTAAATTCTTTAAAACATGTAAATTAAGACATTTTCATAAGTACACTATTTAAACGGCAAAAGGCCCAAGGGACCAACATATTGCTTCTTATTACATGCAACAAGAGATCCTAGAAGGAACTCAGTGCCCACCATTGAATGATCTTTAATTATTCTTTAAAAGTTGAAAACTTTCCCTTTTTCTGTTCTTTCCTATGTGTTTGCTCTTAATTATAGGAAATATAAAAATTCCTCTAAGGAAATAGCAATAATAATCTTTAACTGCCAAATTAAAGTTGGACACCTGTCAGCCATTTTTGTCTTTCTTATAGTCCCAAAATCCAAAGGGCACAACTAGGAACCAAGAGGATTTGATCTACACAAGAAATTTGAGACAGACCCATCTAGTTCTTCTCAAGAAACAGCAATAACAAACTTTCATTGTCAATATCCAAGAAATCCACTTGCACGCTATTCTGTATTTCTGATCAGGAAAAATGGGCACCTACCGTGCTTATGAAATTTCAGAATGACCCATCCAGTATTTTCAATAAATAACCATAACAAGAATTGTTTACAGATTAAAAACCCACAGACTTAGGACAATTTTTTTAGCCCACCACCTTGGCTTACAATTTGCTGAATATGATAATGATGAACTGAAAAAAGAATGTACTATGTGCAGTTACACTTTCTCTTGGACTTCAGAAAATAATCAAAACTTTTATGTCTTAGCTTGCATTCAGAAAAAAAACATGTACTTTATTGATATGCTTTATGGTGACACCACCCCATCCCTATTCCCATCCCCATCCCAACTCATACTATCTGTCCTACAATTATCTGTTTTCTGTAGCTACAATATGTATTTCATATTAAAATATATTAACATGATTTTATTCTAAAACATTCTTTTTTATTTCATTTTATTGATCAAATTGCTTGGAGGATAAGGATGTGATGGATTCCCACATTTTGAAGAGTCTAAGAGAATAATTGATACTGTAATTTGTTTAAAGCATTTTCGCTTAACTTTCTTAATCCTTTCACAACATATTTGATGGATAAATAAAAGCTAATTTATCTTTGATTCCTGGGTTTTTTTTAATGAAACTTATCAAATAGTAGACTTACCATCATGTTCATCTTTCTTTGGAACAATAGCATCTGAATCAAAGGAAGGAACATACTTCCATTTAAAAGCACTACTTTCTCGTAAAGGCATTTCTTTATCTGGCAAGTTATGCTCTGAAAGTGGAATGAACATGAATATTCATAATACTGCTGAATCAGACGAATGGAGTGAAGAATTTGTCATCAATTGCATGCTGTAAATACAACACCTGCATGCTGTTGCATCATAATGCTTGCTAATAAATACAGATATTGAGAAAAAAAACTTTTGGCATAACTTAAATAGAGTAAAATACTGAAAGTCTGGATGACAAAATCAAAATGTTATGTTATTTTTAAACCATTTTTAACCTTATAGTACATCAGAAAAATTGCTCGTGCTGACAAAATTATTATTTCCATTTTTTCTCTACTGAATCTGAACTTGTAAATCACCATCATGAATTATTCCATTTTCTGTCTCCATATGTTCCTCAGCTGAATCAATCAAGCAGATTTCATTTGCTTTCGAAATGTTTTCTTTCATCGGTTCTGAAGCTACAATAAAAAGACTTAATATGAAACAAAGAATTTCTAATAATTGTAAGTAATGAATGACCATGTATGTTAAAATGTTAAATTCTTTAAAACTACGAAGCATATTTAAACAAAGAATTATATTATTACCCGAAACCCAAATTAAAGGCCAATATTAGATGTCAGACCAGATAGTAGATAGATACTTTTCAAATGATTTTTTACTATTCTTAAGATGGTACAAAATGCTGTACAATGTATATGGCTAAAATATGTCCCACATACAAGCTATTTGTAACATGACAACTATATTTACACAAACAAATTGTTTTGTGAAAATAAAAGTTCTTAATCCAAAGAGATAGGTATGAACAAAAATGTTCTTAATAATATTGTTGGCAATATTTTCTTATCAATTATGAACATTGCAAGATATTAACAAGAGGCCCATGGGCCTTAACGGTCATCTGACAAAAAGCAAGCCAAACCTAGAAAGTGGGTTAAGGTCATTCATTTGAACAAACTTGGTAGCCTCTCCTCCAAGCATCTTACAGGCCCAATATCAGCACTCATGGACTTTTGCTTGTTGAGAAGAAGTCGTTTGTATATTTTAACATATTTGACCCCTGTGACCTTGAAAGTGGGTTGAGGTCATTCATTTGAATAAATTTGGTAGCCTTTCCTCCCAGCATGCTACAGACCCAATATCGGCACTCATAGACTTTTGCTTATTGAGATGAAGTCCTTTGTATATTTTAACATATTTGACCCCTGTGACCTTGAAAGTGGGCCAAGGTCATTCATTTGAACAAACTTTGTAGGGCTCCATGCCAGCATGCTATGGGCCAAGTATTAGCCCCCTAGGCCTTCTAGTATTTGAGAAGAAGTTATTTAAAGATTTTGACATATTTGACCCCTGCGACCTTGAAAGTTGTTCAAGGTCATTCATTTAAATAAACTTGGTAGCCTTTCCTCCCAGCATGCTACAGACCCAATATCGGCACTCATAGACTTTTGCTTATTGAGATGAAGTCCTTTGTATATTTTAACATATTTGACCCCTGTGACCTTGAAAGTGGGCCAAGGTCATTCATTTGAACAAACTTTGTAGGGCTCCATGCCAGCATGCTATGGGCCAAGTATTAGCCCCCTAGGCCTTCTAGTATTTGAGAAGAAGTTATTTAAAGATTTTGACATATTTGACCCCTGTGACCTTGAAAGTTGTTCAAGGTCATTCATTTAAACAAACTTGATAGCCCTTCATCCCAGCATGCCACAGGCACAATATCAGCAATCTGAGCCTTTTGGTTATTGAGAAGAAGTTGTTTAAAGATTTTAACATATTTGACCCCTGTGAACTTTAAAGTGGGTCAAGGTCATTCATTTGAACAAACTTGGTAGTCCTTCATCCCAGCATGTCACAGGCCCAATATCTACACTCTGAGCCTTTTGGTTAATGAGAAGAAGTTGTTTAAAGATTTTAACATATTTGACCCCTGTGACCTTTAAAGTGGGTCAAGGTCATTCATTTGAACAAACTTGGTAGAGCTCCATGCCAGTATCCTCTGTGCCAAGTATTAGCCCCCTAGACCTTCTAGTATTTGAGAAGAAGTCGTTTGAATGAAAAGTTTACGGACGGCGCACGGCGGACGGCGACGGACGAAGCATGATGACTATAGGTCATCGGACCCTTCGGGTCAGATGACCTAAAAATAATATTTTACTGTGACTCAACTGAAATTTACTATTGGAATATGCTATTAACTGGTGTAATAATGATATAGACATGTAGACAATAGGACAAACAGGTATTGACAATCACTTATGGTTACCTCCATTACAACTGTAAATGCAATCTTCTTCTGGTGGCAGAAAGTGATCTGAAGGAACAACAGATGGTACAGCTTGGTCATCTGTTGCTGCAGAGTATTGGAAGTTGACACACATTCTTTTAACATCACATTCCTCCTTATTCAATTTGGTCTCCACACCATCAATAAAGCTCCTTTTAGGTGTACCAGATGACATCTTTTCAGAACAGTACTGCACCTGCTCACTCTGAGGATTCAGACTGTGAGTTGTTTTACTTACTGATGATAACTCCACATTTTCATCTTTCATATTTCCATGTGATTCAAAATGTTTCCTTACTTCAATCCTTCTGTCAATTAAGACATCAGAAGAACTGATGTCACCAGCTGTAGTTCTGTTGAAGTGGAAATCACTTTGTAATATGGTAATAGAGTCCTGTTGATGTCTTTCTTCAGCACTGCTGAAAAGTTTTAAAGTTTTTGTCTCATTTTCTAAAATATTGATATTATCTTCATCAACTTTCATTTGGTTATTTTTCCCCTTAAAGTTTATGTCTTGCACACTCATTTTCTCTACATGGACATCCTGTAGAGATGTATCTTTTATAATTTCCTCAGAAAGAACTTTTTTCTGTCTGCTCTGATCTTGAAGAACAATGACAGATGTTTGATCTCCATACCTGTTTGCTGCTTTTTCAATTCGCTTTTCAGTCACCTCTGATGTCTGTTCTAATGAAACAGCTTGCTCAGAAGTCTGTTCTTGCACAAAACTATTGACAGACAGCTCAACTGTTTTGTTTTGGACAAAAGTCTTCTCAGATAACATGCCTGTCTGTTCCTGTACATTTTCCTTATTTTTGAAGTCCAGCACTGTATTGTCCCCAGATGATTCATTCTGTACACTATTTTCATCATACATACATGTTTCCTTTAAAGATTGATTAAGTATAAAATTTTGCCTAACATTTTCGATAGAACTATGATGTTGCTCATCACTATGGTCTTTAAGTACTTGATCTTGACAAATATGGTCCTTTTCAGAAAATTGTCCCTTTGATACAGCACATGCTTCATTTTCCTTTGAAAACTTGTCTGGCACAATAGTTTTCCCACAAATTTGGTCCTTTTTGAAAGTTTCTTCCAATGTCTGATCAAGCACTATAAAAGCAAGGTCTTGTTCAATTTCCCCAGCAGGCTTGTCCTTCCCTTGCTCAACAAAATACGCAGGGACTTGTTCTTGTCCTGTATTTTGCAAAGAATACTGGTCATGTTCATCAAAATGTTCAGATGAAACAAATAGATCATATGTCTTGTCAAGCATATGAATTTCCTGATGAGTGTGATCTTTGTTAACAGATTGTTCAGATGTTGAGTACTGTACAGACTCCAAAGGTGACACATTGTCAACATAATGTTTAGACACTTGTTCTTGTACTGTATCTTGCTGATAAGTCTCAGCATGTTTAAAAGATGTTTGGCAATTCAATTCATTTAGCAAAGTAGTATGGTCTTCTTCAGCGAACTGTTTAGATGTCTGCTCAGACACAAGGGTTTCTTGAGAAAAGTGGTCTTGTTCAACATATTCCCCAGGTGTCTTGTCAGTCATTAACACTTTCTGGTGAGTCTGATCTTGATCAGCAGATTTCTCAGATGTTTGGTTTTGCAGTATATTCTGAAAATATTGATCTTTTGCATCTAGTTTAGACATTTGGTTTTGCAACACATTGTCCTCAGAATTCTGGTTATCTTCAACAGACTGGTCACATATTTGTTCTTGTGACCCACATTCTTGATAAGTCTCTTCTTGTTCATTTGATCCTTCTGTTTGATCGTGTGTATTGACATTTAGGCCCAAGGTCTGGTATTGTTCAACAGGTATCCCTGCAGTATAAAGAAGTTCCTGAGATGATGGACATTGTTCAACATATGGTTTGAATAGTCTGTCTTGAATGTTTCCCTGAGAAATGTTTACACTGTCTTCTTCAAGAAATGGCTCATCTACATGGTCTTGAACAGTTTCTTGGGAATGCTGGTCTTGTAAAACATATTCCTCAGACCACTGATCTTTTTCTTTATTTTCTGATGACAGCAATTCTTGTTCAACACAACATTGAGATTTAAGATTTTCTTCCTCATTTTGCTGAGGGGAATAAGTCTGTTTAGTAGAACATTCAAATATCTTTTTTTCAGTCTCAAAAAGGTGACCTTGTTCAATATTTAAATCAGAAGTACTGTCCTGCATTGTTTCTGGGAAAGTTTTATCTATACATTGCTCTAAAGACTGTGATATCTGGCAATGTTCTACTGTTGCCTTCTTTTCTTCCATGATATTATCATTGGAATCTTTTTGCTGGTCTTGGTGGATTTGCGAATCAACTGCTTTCTGACCTTCTGAAACTGCTTGATCACCAATATCATCATCTTGCACATTTAATGCTTCTTCATTGTTCTTATCTACATGAAGTCCTTGTACCTGATCTATATGTTTCTGAACCATTCCATCAGCATCAGATTCTTCATATGGCTGAATGGTGTATTCTTCTTGACCAGGTACATTTGAAATTATCAGATTCTCTGATATCTCTGAATCCTCATCCACCATATGATGTAACATTACCTGTTTTCTTAACTGTGCTTCATTTACTCTTTCTTTAATATCAAAATATACCTCTTCCTTATCTTGATGAAAAATATATTTGTTTTCTAAAACATCTTCTCTGTCAATGGCAAATTCATCTTTGACAAACTTTTCTTGTATAAAGACTTCAACTTTTCTGTGAGGTGAAATACTTGGTTTTGATTCCAACTGCTCAGATTCTGCACAGTTGATGCTTGCTTCTGAGTGATCAGAATGAAGTTTGAAAGAACTATTGTTTCCTTTCACCTCAGAAACATCAAAGACGCAGTATTTATGGATATTTTCACTACTCTGGGTTTTTCTTTCAACCTGAATTGCTGCTGCTAAATGTTGAGGCTCATCATCAAAACACTGATTTTCCTTCATACACTCAACACTATGCTTGTTCAAAACTCCTTGCATCTGCCCATTTTCAAAATTCCCAGTTGTTTCTTGATTTTGAATTAAACCTTGAGAACATTCATCAACTAAATAAGAAAGTACTTCCTTGACACTTTTTGCTATTTCTTCTTCATCAAATAATCTGTTCACTTTGTGCCCAGTAAAAATATTTTCCTGAAATTTTTCAAACATTTGATCACAGAGATCCACCAAGATGTTGATCACTAGCTTCTGACCATCTCCTTCAATCAGATCTGTATCCATTATTCAAACTGATCCAATTTCCAACTGCAAAATAAGGGAACAGCATTTAGTAACATGTAATGTTAAATAAGAAAATAATTTTACTTGTGTGCTATATCTCTATATTATGCCTCTATTGTGTAGAAATTGCATTTCAAGGAACGATTATTTTGTGTTTAATCCCAATACAGCAAAAACCGAAGGGTGTGTCTTAGATGCTTTCCAGCGACTAGAGGTTCAGTGGCAAGATCAAATGTAAGCTTAGGTGTTTATAGTATCTTTAATATTACAAATACTCCTAGCCAGTACCAAAGTCAATACAATCTAGTGTTCAGACTTTAGCACCTTTAGTAACATGACTATGAAGTATGAAGTAATGTCCAAAATCAGTGCAAGGCACTCAGAAGTACAAAGAGGAACATTGTAATGTTTAAGGGGGTTCGTTACGAGTCAGTTCTGGAAATCACTGTATTTGAGTTCACAGTTTGACAAACTAGCATAACACCTTAAATACAAATATATACAAATATTTCAGAGCTTATCTCAGCTCAGAATTATGTTAGATAACAATTATTAGTTACAGTTTATAAACTACAAATATAAATAACTATGTGTTTAACCTATAAACTTGCTACGAATTAATTAAATCATAAACTATATAATACCATGAGCTGTAACATTCAGCGCTCACTGAACTATTTACAAAGAGCCGTAACGCTCACTTGCTCACTGCGCCTCACTACTGAGCAAGCTACTCATAGCGACTGTACAAAGGGGCATAACTCCTACTGCTCTACATACTCATAAACAACACTCAGCGAACCTATTTGCTTTCACGTCCCATTATGGCAACGCACTGTGGACCATCGAACCCCAGGCTATTCATGCGAGTGATAAAGTGAGTACACAACACTCAGCAAACCTATTTGCTTTCACGTCCCGTTAGGGCAACGCACTATGGACCAGCAAACCCCAGGCTATTCATGCGAGTGATAAAGTGAGTTTCTACCAGTGGATTAAATAATCAGCACAACAACGAGTTGCAATGCGTGTAACAGACAGGTTGGTGGAGTACAAGGCACTATTTCAGCCCTATCTCTCAACGCTGCTCATCTGCACAACTATGCTTCGTACACGAGCTCAATGATGTTGCTACACACCTACCGCTAACAGGTGTGAATTCTTCCACAGCCAGAACAGAATAATCCTAATCCTATGCTGCCTGCCCCCTTTTTTACTGCACAGGACAGCGAGAAAACTGCCTGAAGTAAACACCTCCTAGACAATCTTAGTCTCCTAATTGCTTTGACTATGTGACTGTAAATATAACATCAATCCAAGCATCTATTTGACACCGAGCATAAACAGAACAAGGACATAAATACAATCGTAGGTAACATCTACGTTACGCTATTAATTGAGTTTTGTAAAGTAAATACTTCAAAACTTATTTCCTGGATGCATATCCTTCACCAATTGTTGCAGCCTCTACTTTGGCAGATGACTCTAAAATTGGTACATCAATATCATACAACGTAATTATTTTGCAAACAACTCTTAAGTTTCTTAATGCAACTTCATTAAAATATTTCAATTTCTTGAATAAGAGATCCAGTGTGCGCATATCATTATATCATCTCTTATATTTAAAGGAATTAGAGAAGAAAATTGCTTCCTTGAATAAACTTACAAGGTAACATATGATATATTCTTCTTAATTCAAAAGTTGTCAATTTCAGACAGTATAACTTTAATATACTGCCACTTTCTGTCCAATGAGATTTTGACTGTTCAAGTTTGGCAGTACAATGAGTTTGGCAGACAAGTTTATGCTTCTTTAGAAATGTTGTGGGAGCAATGTTCTTATATTGTCATGGTCTCATTGAATTTGTGTTTGAATTTGAATTGAAATCTGGCACAGGAAAACCAGTATTCCCTGTATACAATAAAACAAGAGAGATCCCAGAAGGATCTTGGCACCCACCATTGTTTGATCTTTATATGCTCTTTGAAAGTTGGATTTTTTCCCTTCTTTTCTCTTCTTATCTGTTTTTGCTCCTAATGATGAGACATTTGAACATTCCTTTGCAGAAATAGCCATGGTAATCTTTAATCCAAAATGGCTGCCTGAAAGCCATTGTTTCCTCTGATCAGTCCCAAAATCAAATGATTACAAGGAGAGACCAAAGGGAAAATAAGTATGAAATTTGAGAGATATTCATTCAGTACTTCTCATGAAAAAGCAATAACAATCTTTCCTCTGCAAAATCCAAGATGGCTGCCTGTCGGCCATTTTGTTTTTCTCATCAATCCCAAACCCAAACAGGCACAACTAGGGGCCTAAGGGAATCTATACATAAAATTTCAGAAAGATCTATAAAGCAGTATACAGTATTTCTCTAGAAATAGCGATAACAATCTTATAAAATCAAATTCCAAGATGCCCACTTGTGGGCCATTTTGCTTTTTTGTGATCAGTCCCAAAATTAGCCAGGCACAACTTGGGCATCAAGGAAAGCATACACATGAAATTTAGGAAAGATCTTTGTGGTAGTTCTCAAGAAATAGCCATAACAAACTTTCAAAATCAAAATCAAAGATGGCCACCTTTCCGCCATTTGGTTTTCTGATCAGTCCCAAAATTAGATGGGCACAACAAGGGACTAAGGGTAACCTACGTATGAAATTTGGTAAGATCTATACAGTATTTCTCAAGAAATAGTGATAACAAATTGCAAAGTCAAAATCCAAGATGACTGTCTATCTTGTATTTTGTTTTTTTGATCAGACCCAAAATCAAACTGGCACAACTTGGGACCAAGGAAAACCTGCATATGAAATTTGAGAAAGATCTTTACTGTATTTCTCAAGAAATAGCAATAACAATCTTTCAAAATCAAAATCCAAGATGAACACCTGGTGGCCATTTTCACACCCAAAATCAAATGGGCACAACTAGGTACTAAGGGGAATCTACATATAAACTTTAAGAAAGATCCACCTACTGATTCTCAAGAAATAGCGATAACAAACTTTCAAAGCATAAAAGTTTAAAATAATCTCAGGGCAGCTCAAAACAAACCCTACAAGCAAACTGCAAAGAATGACATTTTGTGCACTCGCAAAAGCACAGCCTTGATTATCTATGTAAATTGACAGATAATTAAGTCAAATAAAATTACAGATGAAATAAGTCAATATGAAAACATTAAGCTGTATCTTAGGCCTTTAAAAAGCAAAAAAAAAAAAAAAAAAACACCAAATGTACACTTCAAGAAGTAAATGCTTTTACCTATGCATTGATTAGAGTTTATCATGACAATGTAAGGATTCATGTGCTTGTTTACTGATGTTTCTGAATATTCATATGATGATGTTCTTGCTGCAAAATGTACTTAATTATTTTCCATACTAAATAAGTTGCACTTCAAATTTCAATATTTTAGAATAGAATCCTTTTTGTCACTTTGACACTTTGATATTTCAAAATTTAAAGCTTTGAACAAGATATCCCCCCCTTTTTTTAGCACTAAAAATCATTAATTCTAATCTTTAGTCTTTTAAGAAATTTTTGTTTACAATCAAACACTTAAATAAAAACAAGAAAAAGTTCAGGTATAGCAACAACGGAATTGAATAGCAATCTTTGGCAGCACTAGCACTATCACCTTTTATAGTGGACAGAAAAGTACAGGTACTAAAGAATTTCAAAATTATATCAGAAGAATTAATCACAATAACTTAGATGCAGGTTCAAGTTGGGTAAACCCAAGCTTTAGTCTTAATATGGATTTACACTTTCAACTTATGCCTCTTCATCAAAAACAGGTTTTTAAGTAAATTGTCCATTTGACCATTTGCAGCCAAAAAAACATCACAATTACAATTGTTAATTCCCCATGTGATGTTTCAACTAGAGATACACAATGTAATTCAAAATCTGCAAACATAATGAAAAGTAAAATGTAACTGTTTGGGCATCATTTCCACACTGATACCTTTTAAAAAACATTATGGAATCAGCATGAAATTAAGTATAGATGTACTGTGGTTCATTTTGATATATTTCATCTGTAAAAGTTTTGTGCTTATTTTCATTTAAGAATGCCTTTGCACTTAAAAGTGAATTTTGTGATGGATGAACTTTAAATGCTTTAGTGGGTGAAGTGTCACAACAGTAGTGCTACAGGTACTTCAAGGCTGTGTAATGATACCTATCCTTTTCTAACTAAAAATGATGAACTGTCAATAATAATATATGATTTGTGGGGGTAAAAACAAAAAAAAATAGTTCTACATTTTAAAATCACATGGCTAGCATTTTGTATTTGGGTTTTTTCTTTTTTAAATTTTTGATTTGGAGGGGGAGGTGTGTGTTAATATTTGATTAGTATTCCTATGGTAATTATAATTTTAACAAGAGATCCCATCCACCATCGAATGATCTTTCTTCATTCAATGCATGACTGATTTTTTCTCTGCTTTTTCCTTTTCCCCTTTTCTTCTAAATTATATGATAACAAAGGAATTCTGAATATGAAATTTAAGAAAGATCTAACAAAAACTTACTGAGAAATACTTTTAGGAAGCTTCAGTTGTTAAAATATCGTCCACACCTCGGTTTCCAACCATTAAGTATTTCGGAACAGCCATTTTATTGAACTACATCACTATTGACATGCTTGACCTCGCGCCCAGATAAGTTTGGTTCCTGTAACATGTTACACTTCCAGAAAGAATGAAAATTTGTGATTAAAACTATTCACCATAACATTTTTGAGTGTATAGTTTTTTTGGCAACAGTATTTTTCAATACACATTATCACATGTCAAACATCCTCAAAGATATGATGAAATAACCCATCAATACATCCTCGGAAGTTAATGTCTTAACTGTATTTAGTTATTAGTTTTTTTATATGAAAAATAAGTTTACCAAGAAAAATTATCAATTTGAAAAATAGGTACCAATCAATAAAACATTGGATCTAATCTTTAGAAGGGAAAGCTACAGATCATGG